TGGAAGGTCCTGTTTGTCCAGCTCTCTTACCAGCCCCAAGAAGTTTCTCCCTTCCCAGTCAGAGTCACCTTAGGAGTCTCCTGTCGGTGCAGCTGGAATCCTTTGGGGCCCAAACAGCGTGTCTTTAGTAAATAACTAAAAAAAGGGCTGTCAGGCCCTTGGCAGGGACTGCCCAGGGAGGTTTGGAGTGCCCAGCCCTGGAGGTGTCCCAGGAAGGCCTGGCCGTGGCACTCAGTGCTCTGGGCTGGGGGACAAGGTGGGGATGGGGCCCAGGGTGGATCCATGGGCTGGGAGGGCTTTTCCAACCTCAGGGATTCTGTGGCTTCCTGCTGCTTCCCAGCCTTCTGTGGGAGTTGTGGAGCCACCCAGGCTGGGGTGCTCGGGGACATCCCTGCCCTGCTCCAAGGCCACCCCCGTGTCTGCAGAGGCTGCTCGGGGCTGTTCCCAGCTGAGTCTGGAAAGCTCCCACGCCTGGAGCTCTCCCTCCTTGGTCTCATTCCCATCCTCATCCCCTCCCCTGATGGAAAAGCTTTCCATTTTGCCCAGACACAATATCCCCCCTCACACCCCGTGCCTTTTGGCCCTTGTTCTCCCAACCCCTCGGAGAAGAGCCTTGGCTCCGTATCCCTCCATCCCTGGGCACGAGCTGTCATTACCTTTGTCTCTATTGATTAAATCCCTTCCCACCGCCCTGTTCTTGAGTTTCCAACGATCCTTTCAATTCTAATCCTTTAATGACTTTGCATCACCTCCCAGCTCGGGCTCGTCGAGGAATTTAATAAGCATATTCTGCACTCCATCATCCCGGCTGTTAATGACAAAATTGAATCCTGAACCCAGGGTAGGGGCCTGTGAAATCCATTTGGCAGACATTTTTGGGCTGACAGTTAGTCATGAATTAGGTTTCTGATCAGTTTTTCATCTCTTGGCAGGCGTTTCGCCTCGATTTAATTTCTGTTGTTTCTGGGGATGTCACATAAGGCTGTCAAAATCCCTGCAG